CCTGTGGTGTTCTAAATAGTTATAGACAATTCTAAATGTTTCTTGAGCCTTCTAAATTGTTCTAGAGAGTTGATTCTGGACCGTGATAAATGATTATAGATCATTCTAAATGGTTCTGAAGCGTTCTAAATGGTTTTAGATTGGTCTGAATAAGGTTGGAATGTTCTAAATACTTTAAGACTGTTCTAAATGACTATGGATTAATCTGAACAGTTGTTAATGATTCCAGGTACTTCTAAATCATTCTGCAGCGTTCTAAATGATTCTGGAGCGTTCTCACTGGTTTTAGATTGTTCTAAATTGTACTGGAGCGTTCGAACTGTGTTTAGACAATTATAAATTGTCCTGTGGCGTTCTAAATAGTTATAGACAATTCTAAATGTTTCTTGAGCCTTCTAAATTGTTCTGGAGAGTTGATTTTGAACCGTGCTAAATGATTATAGATCATTCTAAATGGTTCTGAAGCGTTCTAAATGGTTTTAGATTGGTCTGAATAAGTTTGGAATGTTCTAAATACTTTAAGACTGTTCTAAATGACTATGGATTAACCTGAACAGTTGTTAATGATTCAAGATACTTCTAAATCATTCTGCTGCATTCTAAATGATTCTGGAAAGTTCTCACTGGTTTTAGATTGTTCTAAATGGTTCTGAAGAATTCGAAATGTGTTTAGACAATTATAAATGATCCTGTGGCGTTCTAAATAGTTATAGACAATTCTAAATGTTTCTTGAGCCTTCTAAATTGTTCTAGAGAGTTGATTCTGGACCGTGATAAATGATTATAGATCATTCTAAATGGTTCTGAAGCGTTCTAAATGGTTTTAGATTGTTCTGAATGAATTTGGAATGTTCTAAATACTTTAAGACTGTTCTAAATGAATATGGATTAATTTGAATAGTTGTTAATGATTCCAGATACTTCTAAATCATTCTGCAGCGTCCTAAACGATTCTAGAGCATTCTCAATGGTTCTAGACGGTTCTAGACGATTCTGGAATGTTCTAGATTGTTCTAGACAGTTCTAAACTGTTTAAATGTCTCTGGATTATTCAAAATTGTTCTTATAGACAAGTATGATTCTGCAGCGTTTTAAATGGTCTAGACGGTTCTAAATGGTTCTGGAGCGCTCTAAATGGTTCTAGACAGTTCTTAATGATTCTGGAGCGTTCTAGATTGTTATAGACAGTTCTAAATTATTCTGTAGCGTTCTAAGTGGTTTTGAAGCATTCTAAATATCACGAACTTCTATAGCATATTCCTCTTTATCTCTTTGATACATTTATTAATACATTCTTCCACGTCTTCTTTGGTTAGTCTCTCTTCCTTTTCAGTTGGCTTATTAATAAAATAATAAAATCCTGCTCAGTGGTTTTCAATGTTCAACTCATCTCTGATATAATCATTTCTTAATCGATCTCTTCCAGTACCTCCTCTTTGACATTTCTGATATTTTTCTGAGATAACAATTATTTGTAACGATTCGAATACAGGCTGATGGTTATTTTCGATTTTATCCGTAATTAAACAGGTAACAGTTAAAATTTGGAGGTGCAGGCGTTACAATTCATTGTAAATAATTAATGATAAAACCTATATAAGTTCAGCGAATGGACTATTATGGAGTGTATGGAGTTTATTCCCGCTTTCCGAGCGATCGATGTTCAGTTTCCAGGAGGGTTTCGGGTTCTGGGGGAGTTCTTTGTGCACGTTCCGGGCAAGCGCGGATATATTGCTCGATTTTTAGCTCTAAACGGTCCGAAAATTTATTTAAATATTTAATAATTTAATTTTTTGTACATGTATTAGTGGATAATGTAACAGGTCATTTAGATTGTATTTTATACTCCGTTCGCTATTAGGTATAATAGTAATAAAACCTCATGGTGAACTATTTAGAACTATTTAGAACATCCTAGTCATTTAGAACGGTCCAGAATCATTTAGATCTAGTTAGAACCATTTAGAACGCTTCAGAACCATTTAGAACGCTTCAGAACCATTTAGAACGCTCCATAGTCATCTTTAAAGGCTCCAGAATCATTTAGAACAATCTAGAATCATTTAGAACAATCCAGAATCATTTGAACTCTTAAGAACCTTTTAGAAGGTCCAGATACATTTAGAACTGTCTAGAATTAGAACCATTTAAAATGATTAAGAATTATTTAGAACTCTCTAAAACCATTTAGAACACATCAGAACCATTTAGAAGCTCCAGAATCATATAGAACTGCCTAAAACAATTTAGAACGCTCCAGAATTATTTAGAACTGTCTAGAACCCTTTAGAACGTTCCAGAACCATTTAGAACTGTCTCGAACTAAAGATTTTGACTTAATAAGAAGAATAATGTATAATTTTTAAACAGAAAATCGTGGTCTTTCATTGTCATGTCGACAATCTCTATAATTTCAATAAAATATTCCGAAAATAGGAAAGTGCTCTATGTTCAGACATTTTAGCTGGGATTAGAAAAGGGTCATGTATTATTATACAGGGTCTTTCTAAGAAAACTTGACCTCTCTAAAACTAGAAAACCGAATATTTTTCGCGGAATTCGCTGAGACGCGTGAAATTTTTGTTTTTTGCAAAAAGAATCATTTACGGATACATTTGAACTATTCAACACAAAATTACTCAAATATTTACCCTTTAAAGTTTGTACTTATTAAAAACACCCTGTATATCTCCAAAACGAGATATGTATATCATATACGGATATACATATGAACTATTCATCTCCAAATTAGTGAAATATTCACCCTTAAAAGTTTTTATTTAATAAACACCCTGTATATCTCCAAAACGAGATATGTATATCATATACGGATATACATATGAACTATTATATTCACCCTTACATTCACCCTTAAAAGTTTTTATTTAATAAACACCCTGTATATCTCCAAAACGAATCATTTACGGATACGTATATGAACTATTCATCTCCAAATTAGTGAAATATTCACCCTTAAGTTTTTATTTAATAAACACCCTGTATATTTCCAAAACGAATCACGGATTACGGACCCACAATAATTTTCGTATGAACATTTCTTCTCAAAATTACTCGAAACATATTCCACCTTTGACAGTTTTTTAAAAGTTTCTATTTAATACTGAACACCCTGTATATAGTATTATGAATAATATCGATCGAACGCGCGAAATCGGAGAGTTCCTTTTGCCGGAGAGCGAATAAGAAGCGAAGAGAGAGAGAGAGAGAGAGAGAGAGAGAGAGAGAGAGAGAGAGAAGAGACGAGAACAAGTAGATAACGCGTAAAAACGTAGAGCGTATACGTCACGAGGCCTTGAACCCCATTCGCGTTTAGCCAGCCAGCCAGCCAGCCAGTCGAACCGTCGTCGCGTAAAAGTAAAAAATATCCCGAGACCGGTTTTGCGCCTGGGAGACAGCCGGTTCGCATATTATACACTATATATAGGGTGTCCCAAAAAGTCTATTCATCTGCACCGGTTTAGGTTTTTCGCCATTTATTTTTTCATGGTGAAACTGGGGTAGAGATAATTAATTATGTGGTGTTGTAATTAGTAAATATTGAGGTTGAATTGTCTTTAGTTAAGCCAGCCGGTTCGCATATTGTGTACTATATATAGGGTGTCCCAAAAAGTCTATTCATCTGCACCGGTTTAGGTTTGCCGTCATTTTTTTTTTCGTGGTGAAACTGGGGTAGAGATAATTAATTATGTGGTGTTGTAATTAGTAAATATTGAGGTTGAATTGTCTTTAGTTAAGCTACATATTATGTACTATACAGGGTGTTTCACAACTTTTTTTGAGATTTCTCAAAGAGGGAGAAGTTGATTTCTCAAAAAAAATGTAATAAAAGTCCTACAGAAATAAAATTATAAACCCGAGTTTCAATAAAAAATTGAAAAATAAATACTGCATTTTGCGTTCATAATTTTGCCTTAATACTTTACTGTAACAAATGTTGCACCAAAACAATGATTAAAACAAAAAAAAAACAAGCACCCAAGCTTGCATTGCAATAAATGGGAACAATTTTGAACATCTTGTATAAGTAATTGAACTGTTAAACTATTATTTTATTATCTCGATTTCTGTAAGACTTTTATTACATTTTTTTTGGGGAAATTAACTTCTCTCGTAACAGTGCATATGTGGTTAAAATTTGTCGGATAAGTTGTGAAACACCCTGTATAGGGTGTCCCAAAAAGTCTATTCTTTTGCACCGATTTAGGTTTTTCGCCATTTTTTATTTGTGAAACTGGGGTAGAGATAATTAATTATGTGGTGTTGTAATTAGTAAATATTGAGGTTGAATTGTCTTTAGTTAAGCTAGCCGGTTCGCATATTATGTACTATATATAGGGTGTCCCAAAAAGTTTTTATGTTATCTCGAAAAGTAATCGAGATAAAAACACCCAGATTGTTTTATTTTGAAGAAAAATATTTTCTCTATATAACTTGTAGAATTAAAAATTTTCCAAAATCGCCTAAATTTCGAGATATTTCAAGTTTTTTTTGAACACTATCAAAATTACCAATTTTGCTACAATTTAACAGAAAATTACAATTATCTCAAAAAATAATAGAGATAAAAACATCCCATTTATTTCGTTATGAAGAAAAATATTTTCTCTACAACTTGTAGAATTAAATTTTTTTTCAAAATCGCCTAATTTTCGAGATATTTCGAGTTTTTTTGAACACTATCAAAATTACCAATTTTGCTACAATTTGACAGGAAATTACAATTATCTCGAAAACTATTCGAGATAAAAACATCCCATTTATTTCATTATGAAGAAAAATATTTTCTCTACAACTTATAGAATCAAAAATTTTCCATAATCCATTAAATTTTGAGATAATTCGAGTTGTTATGAATTGAATCAAAAATTCCAATTTTGCTACAAGTGCGCATAAAACCACCCCGAATTCAATAATACGAAACAAACCAATTATTTTTTCAAAATATTTTTTATTTTTTAGCAAAAATAATACCAAAACAAGTAAAAACATTTTTTATCATTGTATCAAAGTCTCTTTCTCACTAATACGAAATTAAGCAGTCTTTCCCTTTCACTCCCCAATCAACCGATAAATCAAACGATCCAGGGGCGAAAGAGGGGGGGGGGGATGATGATATCAACAATTTCCAGGCAACACACCGAGCTACCAACAAAGTTGGCCATGATTGTCAAAAATTCAGTTGGTAACACTTATTCAATTTTGACACTTAACAGTTCTACCAATCTTATATAAAATAATAACCCGGTGTAATTTAATACTCCGTTCGCTATCAGACGCGATTGTAATAAGACCTTTTTTAAGCACTATAAAGCAAACAATAATTCGATAAATATACAAAGTGGTACTAATAAAAAAAAACAGTAGTTCTTCTTATTCCCTTTTTGAGGCCTCAACTTCTAGGGCTATTCGGCCTAATAGCCTAACAAAAAAAAAACAATTTCTTGAATCACTCGTGCGGTTAAAATACAATCTCCTGCCAACGAACGGAGTATAAAACCAAAATTAATCGTTATCATCAGCCTCCCTTTGCTGGATAATATACTTCTCCTGCGCCTCCCTCAACTTGAAATCCAATATCATATTAACGATGTTCCTTTGAATAAACACCTGATTCACCACGTTCATCTTCTTCACAGCCTCCGAGATTCCTTTGAAGAACGAATCGATGTCGCTGTCTTCACCGCCGCAGGAGCTAACCGACTCCTGCCGGCTCCTGCCGGGCGAGGCCTCCTCGATTTCCCTCTGCCCGTCCGACCCTTTGGACTCCCCCTCGTCCTGCTTCGAGAGGTCCTGCTTGGAGAGGTCCTGCTTGGCGAAGTCCTGCTTGGAGAGGTCCTGCTTGGAGAAGTCCTGCTTGGAGAAGTCGAGCAGGGCGCCGAGAAAATGGCCGCCGTCGGGCTCGTCGTCGCGTTGGTAGTCCTGCGACGAGTCGTCCTTGGAGAGGCGCGGCGAATCGTCCTGGCGGGCGGTCCTGTCGGGGGGCAGGGGGAAGCTGATGGCCAGAAATGGGGCCAGGAAGGTCATGCAGTTGCTGTAGCGCCAGTTCTTGCGTGGTTTGACGGCGTGTCCGGTGCTGACGGCCATCTTGTATTTGATCTCTTTGACGTAGGAGTCGCGCAGGCTCTTCCAGCGCATCCGGACCACTTTCACTGGAAATCGAATGAGTGGGGATGAGTTAAATTTGGTCATTTCGGTTTGCAATATACGCAGTGATTTATAAAATTACTTTATAATATGTAATTAATTACAATTACAATTACTTTTGGCAAATTTGTAATTAATTGCTATTACAATTACAAAATTTGCGAATGTAATTACCAGTGTTGTTAAGTAATTAATTACAAGTAATTGAAAAAGAAATTGAATTACTTTTATTGTAATTGAGGCGGTAATTAATTACAAGCTCCTCAATTGTAATTCATTTGTAATTCAATTACTCCTTTCGTTACAATTACAATTACAATTACATTTTACAATTACATTTCAATTACATTGGACACAAAAGTACTTTCATTTTTTGTTCATTTTTATATTTTCAATACGTGTAAAGTTTAATTCCGATTGAAAATCCCTAAATAATTATTTAAAACTGACCCCAAAGCAAAGAAATTGTGATTGTAATCTTAATTGTAATTGTAACTTTAATTGTAATTGTAATTACCAGTGATGTTAAAATTACTTTATAATATGTAATTAATTACAATTACAATTACTTTTGGCAAATTGTAATTAATTGCTGTTACAATTACAAAATTTGCGAATGTAATTACAATTACAATTAAAATTACAATCACAATTACTTTGCTTTGGTGTCAGTTTTAAATAATTATTTAGGGATTTGCAATCGGAATTAAACTTTCCACGTATTGAAAATATAAAAATGAAAAAAAAAATGAAAGTACTTTTGTGTCCAATGTAATTGAAATGTAATTGTAAAATGTAATTGTAATTGTAACGAAAGGAGTAATTGAACTACAAATGAATTACAATTGAGGAGCTTGTAATTAATTACCGCCTCAATTACAATAAAAGTAATTCAATTACTTTTTCAATTACTTGTAATTAATTACTTAACAACACTGCGTACACCAAAATTCATAAAAATATTTATAGGTGTATGGAAATGAAAGTAAAAAAAAGATTTTTTTCTTAAAACTTTAACACCCTGTATCTCAAAAGTTAAGACGTCACGATTCAAGAATCACCCCTTTAAGTAATTACAATGTTATTAAGAAACACCCTGTATACGTTTTTGCTTAGAAATGTCTAATGGATAGTTAATAGGGGTGCACTTTCTTTGGAAATTCCCATACAATACACAATTGAAAAAATGTATATAAAATCCCTCTTTACCTAACATTACCCGGAAAGGGATTATAAAATAAAGCCAAAAATATTCCTTCGAAGTTTGTTATCAAAGAAAATCTAATATTGTTGTTACTTTCTAAATTTACTGAATAAAATTGCATCATTCAGAAAAAAATATATTACTAGTTATGTTTTTGGATAGAAAAAAAATTACCTATCCTTATTTTTTATACAGGTAGATGCAAATTTAATTGCAATATAGGCTACGGGTGCAACAAAGACAACTTCCATTAGCATCATATAAAGGAAAAAGAAAGAGCGAGAGTATGGGTTGATTGCAACTTTCCCACTCTAACCACTGGTATTTTAATAATCTTTCTTTGTTCAACTCATAGAATTTCGCGCCCATGCTCCTATGTATATGCTATATGCACATAAAAGTTTGCAATGTGGTCAATTCTATGAGTTGAACGAAGAAAGATTACTAAAAACAACATTTATTAGAGTGAGAAAATTGCAATCCCATATTATCCCCCTTTCTCTTTTCTATACATACAGGGTGTTAATTAATAAGTGCAACAAACTTCAAGGGGTGATTCTGAAAAAAAAATACAAGAGAGCTTTTTTGTCACAAATTGAACGAGGAATTCATTCATAATTGAATTTTCAAAATGCCTCAGTGGCGTACCAATATTATTTTTTTCTTTAATTTTTTTTAATTTCTTTTTTTCTAAAATTTTTAATTTTATGTCAAATATTGCGTAATAGTTACCTCTCAAAACCCACCAAATATCATTTCAATATCTCGTCTAGTTTCAGAGAAATAAATGCAGAATCACCCCCTGAAGTTTGTCGCACTTATTAATTAACACCCTGTATAAATATAAAAGCATTTAGATACATTTAAAAATGCATCAACCTGTATGTACATACAGGGTGTCCCAACGAAAGGTAGACCCTTAAATGAGCTTATAATTTTTAAACGGCCAAAGATGAGACAAAAATTTTGTATCTCCTGTACAGGGTGTTTCATAAAAATCCCCTCTTTTAAATTCACATTAACCAAGTTTTATGAAATAGGGCGTCTTCTTTTGTAGAATAACATGTACGAATAATACATTTTTGAAAAGTTGAAGAGTATATCATTCAAAATACCTCTACATACACATGGTGTTTCATTTAAAAAAAATGTTTACTGTGAATTTAAAAGAGAAGATTTTGATAAAAACTCCTGTATTGGTAATGCATAATTTCTGTATCACTGTAACAAAACTTATAATAAAATAAAACATTTTTGAAAAAACCTCACGATTTTATGATTAGCAGTGATGTTAAAATTACTTTATAATATGTAATTAATTACAATTACAATTACTTTTGGCAAATAGTAATTAATTGCAATTACAATTACAAAATTTGCGAATGTAATTACAATTACAATTAAAGTTACAATTACAATTACTTTGCTTTGTTGACAGTTTTAAATAATTATTTAGGGATTTGCAATCGAAATTAAACTTTCCACGTATTGAAAATATTAAATAAGTACTTTTGTGTCCAATGTAATTGAAATGTAATTGTAATTGTAACGAAAGGAGTAATTGAATTACAAATGAATTACAATTGAGGATCTTGTAATTAATTACCGCCTCAATTACAATAAAAGTAATTCAATTACTTTTTCAATTACTTGTAATTAATTACTTAACAACACTGATGATTAGCCGTTTAAATCTCATTAAAGGGGCTACTTTTCATTGGGACACCCTGTACTTCGTAAATAGCAAATACCGAGCAGTACTTAACCGCCTCGTACTCAATTTAAGTAACCGTACGAACACAAAACGAAAAAGAACAAGTACACGAAGAAGAAGAAGAAGAAGACGAACAAAAAATAGCAGAAAAAAAAAACCGCTCCGAACGTACGATGTACATCATAACGGATCCTCCATTTCCCCCACATTCGCGCCGCTCACGCTCTCACTACTCCCCTTCCTCCTCCATCCTTTCTCACGAGAACCCACCAGAACCAACACACACACAAGACAACAAAAACCAGTCAACTCGACTCTACACCGCAACCGCTTCTCGCCAACCCACGACCCACAGAACAACAACAAGGACAACAACAAAACGAAGAAGTAGTCGAACAACAAGGACAACAACAAGACGAAGAAGTAGTAGAATAACAAGGACAACAAGAAGACGAAGAAGTAGTAGAATAACAAGGACAACAAGAAGACGAAGAAGTAGTAGAACAAGGACAATAAGAAGACGAAGAAGTAGTAGAACAAGGACAACAAGAAGACGAAGAAGTAGTAGAACAACAAGGACAACAAGAAGACGAAGAAGTAGTAGAACAACAAGGACAACAACAAGACGAAGAAGTAGTAGAACAACAAGGACAACAACAAGACGAAGAAGTAGTGGAACAACAACGCTCAAACAACAACAACAACAACACTCACCCGAGTACTCGTCGGACTGCTTTCGCATTTTGAAGGCGACGTCCTTCCAACAAGCCGCCTTCACCTCCTTGTTCTTGAAGTTCCTGTGGGAACCATCGTACAATTCCGGGTACCGTTTCACCACGTTGATCAATTTGATGTCGTAGTCCATCGCCGTGATCGTTTCGCACATTTAATCCTATCGAATTATATAAACCTCTTGTCGATGAAGATATCGATGATGTCGATGTTGATACAATCGAAATCGTTTGTAGTACCTAGTAGATTCGAAAAGGTCTCAGCTGTATAACTTCTATATATACTGTTGTTGTTGCTGGTGGTATTGCTCGTTGTTGTGGATGGTACGATGCGATTGTATTCGACGATTCGATGATGATATCGTTAGCGAAGACGATGATGATGATGAAAAACGAATTACGAATTCGCCGGTTCGTTTTTGGGTTGTTTTGAGCGTATTATCGGTTCGATATCGGTGAAATGGCGCGCGCGCGAGAGTACCTGCAACGCCAACAGGTTGGCCTGTACTATTCTACCGCCTGTCGGGTACTGCCCGCGCTGCTCGGGAAGCGTTGAAACGTCGAAACGTCGAAACTCGGCTCGAAAAACGGCAAACGGCACGACGACGTCGGTGTGTTGTAAAAACCGGTGAAAAGAAAGCGTCACGTCCGCCCGGCCGGCCGCCCGCCCGGCGGGCAGGCGGGCGGGCAGGCGGTGTTTTATTTTGTGTGTGAGTGTATGGGCGAGGGGGCGGCGAATGCGGGGGGGGAAAGGGAGGGTTTCGGATGGGCGACGGGCCGACGACGACGACGACGGGTACGGCTTTGTTGTTGTGTATTATATATACTATATATACAGGGCGTCTCGGGTTTTGACGCTCGGCGGGTCGTGCTTGATGGCGAATGCGTATATATGGGCTTTTCAGGGTAATTGTCCTTTAGAAGTATCTCAATAATGAAAAGACTTAAAAATCTGAAATTTTGGTTGTAATATTTTTTGGATAATTTGAATTGATCTAAAATATTTTCATTTTGATTACACTTCCGGTTATACCGGAAGTTGACACCAATTTTGTTATTTTATATGGAAAGTGCAATTTTTAACTTCATTTTTGAATTCTATGGCTTTTTTTAACTACATTTTGATAATAACACCTTATGCCAAAAATGTACTATTTTTAAGATATTACAATTTTTTTGATATTTTTTGGAAAAACAGTCAAACTCCGGATAACTCAAAAAAAAAAGAAAATTCATACCTTATTTAATAAGACTTCGATTATATCAAAAACTACTGGATTTGGGTATAGGAAATACCCATATGGATCGAAAGGGCTTAAAAAACTGCATTGGACACTGTTAAAAAATACAGGGTGGTCCATTTTAAATAACAAAGTTATGACCACTTTAATTTGACCAAGTTTGTCAGACAATTTTAAACGCCCTGTACATGGATTTTGAAAATAGAGTATAGTTTCATTTAGAAGTGTGTGTGGACATCATCGATACTCAATTTCTAGCTTTTAGCTGCATTATTAACACAGATATCACAGAAAATACATTCGACTGTTTTTCCAAAAAATATCAAAAAAATTGTAATATCTTAAAAATGGTACATTTTTGGCATAAGGTATTATTATCAAAATGTAGTTAAAAAAAGCCATAGAATTCAAAAATGAAGTTAAAAATGGCACTTTCCATATAAAACAACGAAATTGGTGTCAACTTCCGGTATAACCGGAAGTGTAATCAAAATGAAAATATTTTAAATCAATTCATATTATCCAAAAAATACTATAACCAAAATTTCAGATTTTTAAGTCTTTTCATTATCGAGATACTTCTAATGGACGGTTACCGTGAAAAGCCCTGTATACAGGGCGTCTCGGGTTTTGACGCTCGGCGGGTCGTCCTTGATGGCGAATGCGTATATTATACAGGGTGTTTCACAACTTATCCGACAAATTTTAACCACATATGCACTGTTATGAAAGAAGTTAATTTCCCAAAAAAAAAAAGGAAATAAAAGTCTTACAGAAATCGAGATAATAAAATAATAGTTTATCAGTTCATTTACTTATACAAGATGTTCAAATTTGTTCCCATTTACTGCAATGCAAGCTTGGGTGCTTGTGTTTTTTGTTTTAACCATTGTTTTGGTGCAACACTTGTTACAGTAAAGTATTTTAAGGCAAAATTATGAACGCAAAATGCAGTATTTATTTTTCAATTTTTTATTGAAACTCGGGTTTATAATTTTATATCTGTAGGACTTTTACTACATTTTTTTGAGAAATCACCTTCTCTCTCTTTGAGAAATCTCAAAAAAAATGTAATAAAAGTCCTACAGAAATAAAATTATAAACCCGAGTTTCAATAAAAAATTAAAAAATAAATACTGCATTTTGCGTTCATAATTTTGCCTTAATACTTTACTGTAGCAAATGTTGCACCAAAACAATGATTAAAACAAAAAAAACAAGCACCCAAGCTTGCATTGCAGTAAATGGGAACAATTTTGAACATCTTGTATAAGTAATTGAACTGTTAAACTATTATTTTATTATATCGATTTCTGTAAGACTTTTATTACATTATTTTTTTGTGAAATTAACTTCTCTCGTAACAGTGCATATGTGGTTAAAATTTGTCGAATAAGTTGTGAAACACCCTGTATTTATACAGGGCGTCTCGGGTTTTGACGCTCGACGGGTCGTCCTTGATGGCGAATGGGTATATTATGGCGTTTTCCATTGGTAAAATAGTGCGCACTGAAAGTGCACTCAAAGCAACATTTTTGTTTTACTTGGTGGACTGTGCGAGGTGTTTTGATTTCCAAAAGTGTTTTTTGATGGCCAGATTGCCGATGGAAATCAAAACACTTTTCATATAAAAGCAGATACAGGTAACGCTGTATACTATACAGGGTGTCTCAAAAATGTATTAATATACAGGGTGTTCGTTTTCCAGATAATTAATAAGAATTAATTATAAGAGATAATAAAAACACATTATTTTATCCTCTATATTTATCTTCCGATACCGGTGTTATTGCCGGTCTTACTTATACTCCGTTCAGTTTCAAGAGTTTCATTAATAGTATTAAATTATTATTAGTACTCGTAGTTTGGTACATAAAAAATAATATGAATAATTCCAGAAAAAATTCAAAAATTTGCAAAATTTTAAGGCTTTCTACTATACAGGGTGTCCCAATAAAAAGTAGCCCCTTTAATGAGCTTATAATTTTTAAACGCCTAATCATAAAAACATGCGGTTTTCTCATATTTATGTTCTATTTTATTATAAGTTTTGATACAGTGATACAGAAATTATGCATTACCAATAAAGGGTTTTTTATTAAAATCTTCTCTTTTAAATGCACGAGTAACCACTTTTTTAAATGGAACACCCTGTATATACAGAGGTATTTTAAAAGATATACTCTTCTACTTTTCAAAAATATATTATTTGTAGATGTTATTCTACAAAAGAAGATGTCCTATTTCATAAAATTTAGTTATTGTGAATTTAAAAGAGGGTTTTTTTATGAAACACCCTATGTAGGTGGTACAACATTTTTGTCTCACTGCAACAAAAAGTTATAACAAAAAAAATATATCTGTCAAAACCGCATGTTTTTATCATTAGGCGTTTAAAAAATATTAGCTCACCAAAGGGGCTACTTTTCATTGGGACACCCTGTATTGTCCAAAAGTAATGTTTATGTTGCTTTTATAGCGTTACACTGTATAAAAGTATTACTGTATTACAGGGTTTACTATTTAAATAATGGGGGACCCTTTTCTAATCCCAACTAACCTGACAACAGTGCACATTCCTGTTTATGAGATAAATAAATTAATATGAAAAAGATACTTATAACAATATTAAAAATTAGTCACAAATTGGTGCTCAGTATACTTCTGGTAATTATTAAAAATGCTTGCTTATAAAATTATTAATTCAATAGTGCAACGTTTTATTATTTTGTTTGGATTTATTGTTAGAGCTTTAATAATGTTTTATTACAATCTCCCGATGGCGAACGCAGTATAAAAAAATGCGCATGTACAAAAGTATATTCAAATCTCTATCCAAAAAATCGAAACATTTGGAAAAATGTAACTGTTTTGCTCATTACAATTTTATGAAAAAAAAATTATTATTTGTGCCTAAATTTCCCTAATACAATTTAAAAAAATTTCAAGGACTATTTTTGTTTTTTGCAAATTCAAAAAATTTACCCTTTGCAGTAATATTAAAATTATTGATTAATGAATAAATAAATTCTGTCATAGAAAAAAAAAAAAAAATATTTCACCTGCCTCCTGTGAGGTTTGAACTCACGACCCCTGGTTTACGAGACCAGTGCTCTCCCACTGAGCTAAAGAGGCTCATGCAAGACCAGTACTAAATGAACTATTTCAATGTATTAGTAATTTAACTTTTTTTGTTCTATGCTTTTCAATTTATATTTTTTCGTAAATAATTTATTTATTTTTGTATTGTCTCAAAGAGTATAAATTGTTTTAATTTTCTCTTCTCTTTCTGTACATATTATTTTATTATAGTTTACTTATTTGTATCAGTTGATAAATAATTAATAGTTTCTGAAAAATGAAGCATATTAAAAAATATTATATTTTTTATAATTATAAGTTTTGTCGTTTAAATTTTAAGATAATTCGACTTTTTTTAGGATTGCATGGAAGTTACTAATTTTGGTACAATACAACGGAAATTTAGCAATTATCTCGAAAACTAACTGAGATAAAAACATCCAGTACGTTTCATTTCAAAGAAAAAACATTTTTCTACTACTTTTAAATAAAAAATTTTCCAAAATTTATTAAATTTCGAGATATTTTCAGCCTTTTATGAATCATATCAAAATCACTACTTTTTGAATGATGCAATTCGACAGAAAATCCAAATTATCTCGAAAACTAATCGAGATAAAAACATCCCTTCTGTTTAATTTTGAAGACCAAACTTTTCTCTAGGACTTTTCCTATCAAAAATTTTCTAAAATCGCTTAAATTTCAAGATATTTTGAGTTTTTGTCGAATTTTGCTAAAATTCGACAGAAATTAGCAATTATCTCGAAAACTAATAGGGTTAAAAACACCCATTTATATTTTATTATAAAGACAAAACATTTCTCTACAACATTCAGTATCAAACATTTTCCAAAATTGCTTATTTTTCGAGATATTTTGCGTTTTTTACGAATCATATCGAAATTATTATACTTTAATTCTGATGCAAATCGATAGAAAATCCATATTATCGCGAATGCTAATCGAGATAAAAACATCCCGATTATTTCATTTCGAAAGCCAAATCATTTTTCTACAACTTACAATTCGAACATAGGTATTCCAAAATTCTCCAAAATTTTGAGCTTTTTAATAGATTAGGTACATCGAAACTAATTTTGGTACAATCGGAAAAAATGGCAATTATCACAAAAACTAGTCAAAATATTTCTCTACAATTTTTAAAAAATCCAAAATTTTCAAAATTTGCTTAATGTTTGAGATATTTCGAGTTTTTTGTTGCTACTATTGAAATTACTAATCTCAGTCCAATTCGTCAGAAAATTGCAATTATCTCAAAAACCAATCGAGATAAAAACACCCCGTTTATTACATATTTCTCTATAGATTCAAAAAATTTCCAAAATTGGTTAAATTTCGAGATATTTTTAAGTTTTTAAGAGATCACATCGAAATTACAAATTTTGACATAAATCGGCAAAAATTGGCAATTATCTCAAAAACTAATCAAGATATAAGAATCTTATTAATTTTATTTTGAAGAAAAAATCATTCTCTACATTTTTTAAAAAATCCAAAACTTTCAAAATTCGCTTAATTTTTGAGATATTTCGATTTTTTTATAGTTCCTATTGAAATTACCAATTTCAGTCCAATTCGCCAGACAATTGCAATTATCTCGAAAACTAATCGAGACAAAAACACCCAGATTGTTTCATTTTGAAGAAAAATATTTTCTCTATAACTTGTAGAATCAAAAATTTTCCATAATCACCTAAATTCCAAGATATTTCGAGTTTTTTTGAACACTATCAAAATTACCAATTTTATTACAATTTTAAGGGAAATTGCAATTATCTCGATAACCAATCGAGATAAAAACATCCCGATTATTTCATTTGTAAGAAAAACATTTTCTCTATATCTTGTAGAATCAAAAATTTTCCATAATTACCTAAATTTCAAGATATTTCGAGTTTTTCTGAACACTATCAAAATTACCAATTTTATTACAATTTTAAGGGAAATTGCAATTATCTCGATAATCAATCGAGATAAAAACACCCCGATTATTTCATTTGGAAGAAAAATATTTTCTCTATATCTTGTAGAATCAAAATTTTTCCATAATTACCTAAATTTCAAGATATTTCGAGTTTTTTTGAACACTATCAAAATTACCAATTTTATTCCAATTTTAAGGGAAATTGCAATTATCTCGATAACCAATCGACATAGAAACACCCCGATTATTTCATTTGTAAGAAAAATATTCTCTCTATAACTTGTAGAATCAAAAATTTTCCATAATCACCTAAATTCCAAGCTATTTCGAGTTTTTTTGAACACTATCAAAATTACCAATTTTATTACAATTTTAAGGGAAATTGCAATTATCTCGATAACCAATTTAGATAAAAACACCCCGTTCATTTTATTTCGAAGCAAAACCATTCCTCTACAACCTCCACAATCCAAAAAACTTCCAAAAAACCTCCAAAATCCTCCAAACCTCCCCGAATACCCAACCCGCTACCTATCCTACTACACCGTTCAATATCACCATCAGCATTACACCGAGCATCTATTTACACATTTACACCGGCCCCTCCGAACCTTGTGCAAGGGAAGGTCCGCGAGACCGCCACCTGACCCGGCCCCGTGCCCCCCGAGCGCTCCCCTACTCTACTCCGCGCTCCGAAAAATCGATAATTAGAGCAGACTTGGAGTTATTCCCATCCATTATCGATCCCTCTCTCGGCGCATCCCGCAGGGGAAACCGCGCGGGAGGGAGAGAGAACGCGCGATTACGCATCGAAGACCTACCCCAGGATCGGAGACAGCCGGTTGGGCCGGAGGCCGGTCGATATTCCGGGCCCCCCGAAGGTGCCGGCGCTTCCTCGTTCTGTTCCGGGTGTTTTCGGTTTGTTTGGGGGCCCCCGGCGAGTTCGCTATCAATGAAAACGGATTCGATTTCGTTGCGAGGGGGGGAGGGATCGCGTGAGACGGGGGTTGTGTCGGGGTGGATTGTGCACGTTCGATTTTGTTAATGGGGAGGGTGGAAGTTGGAGTTGTAGTGGTG